GGTTCTAGATCCTTCAAGGACAAACAGATGTCCTCCAGTGTGCCTCCACTTGGAGGAATCCAGAGAAGGTCTCTGATTGGCTGGCATCAGCCACTCCGAACCAATTTCAGCCGCCAATCAGATACTCCTCTTGGCCAGAATCTATTATTAGAAGTGAGTTGGGGTGATCCCAACACAGCTACCTGCCTAAAGCAGGCCTGGCTGGGCTGGGGGTGCAGAGGAAAGAAGGACAGCCCTGCGCCCCCAGGAGTGCCATCTGCCGTGGGTGTGAGGAGAGGTGGGAATTTTATCATTGAAGTGACACAGGTACTGCAGGGTGGGGGCTCTCTAACTGAGGCATTGTTTGGGGTCAGGGACAAGAAAGCCTGAAGAGCCAGTGGTTAAACTGAGACTCAGTGGACCAATGACTCTCTGTTCCAGGCAGAGGTGATGGGAAAGGCATTCCAGCCCCAGGGAACAGCAGGAGCAAAGGCAGGGCAGCCTGAACTAGCCTGCAGTGTTAGAGTTTAGTTCAGTGGATGTCAGTCATGGATGGAGGGTCTTCTGCCCTGAACAGCTGAGGGAGCTGGCTTTTGCCATGAGGGGCCGTGAGTGCTAGTGGGTTTACATGAAGGCTGAAGGCTCCGGTGTGGCCACTGTGCGCAGCTGGACATGAGAGGACCAGTGGGGATGCCAGAGACCAGGTGTCAAACAGTTAAAATTGTGATGCTGCATTCAAAGAGGCCCTGAGCTGAGGCAGAGTCAGGGGAAGGGCAGGAGAGGGCTGGGGAGGGAGCCAGGGTGCAATAAGTAGCCAGACATGGGGGCCAGTGGGAGAGCCACACCCCCCAGCTGCTCTGGTTTTAAGTGGGGTTGAGTCTGAGTGACCTGGGCAGTATCCCTGTGGCCTGGGTCTGGAACTCAGGAAAAGTGAGAGCTGGGACAAGTAAAAGTGAGGTGGATGCCAGGTGCAGGTGACTCACACCTGTCATCCTAGCTACTCAGGAGGCAGAGAGCAGGAGGATCATAGTTCAAAGCCAGCCTGAGCAAATAGTTCATGAGATCCTATCTCGAAAAAATTCTTCACAAAAAAGGGTTGGTGGAGTGGCTCAAGGTGTAGGCCCTGAGTTCAAACCCCAGTACCACAGGGAAAAAAAGAGAGAGAAAGTGAGATGGGTGACTGCAGCAGAACCCTGAGAAAATGAGGGGTGGGCAAAGTACCCAAAGCCTGCCATGGAGGACTTCCTGAAAAAGAATGGTTAGAGACAGGCCTGGTGGTCATGTTTATAATCCCAGCACCCGGAGGCAGAGGCAGGAGGACTGCAAGTTCGAGTCCAGCCTGGGCCACATATCCAGACCCTGTCTCAAAGGATCAAAAACAAAACAAACAAACAGAAAAAGAATGGTCAGAGAGGAAGGAGAGCCAGGGGGTGGTGACCAAGGCCAGGGAGCAGATTCGTGGAGCCAAGCTTCCTATCACCTTTCCAGCAGGAGTAACAGGAAGGCAAGAAGTCCATTTTGCTTATTACTCTTTTAAATATACTTTTCGATATAGTATTAGTTTTTTGTTGTTGTTTTGGGTTGTTTTGATGGTACTGGGGTTTGAACTCAGGGCCTCACACTTGTTGGCAAGCTGTCTACCACTCGAGCCACTCCACCAGTCATTCTATGTGTTGATTATTTTTGAGATAGGATCTCGAGAGTTATTTGCCCAGGTTGGCTTTGAACCAAGATCCTCCTGATCTGGAGTAGCTAGGATTATAGGCGTGAACCACTGGCACCCAGTTTATTATTAGTTTTTTAAAATAGATTTTTTTTTAAACAGTTGAAACTAAAATTCTCTTTAGAACAACCCTCTGTGGTAATGATTTGCCTGCCAGAAATCTTTTTATAGTATCTATTTTTTAAAAATCAACAAGTGATTAAATGAAAATGATCAACTCTGACCTTACTATGTATACAGTTAATGTTCAACCTCTGCCTTCAGAATGACGCCAGGCCCCACGGATGGGCGTTTGTGTCCCGCAGAAGGGTAGTGGGGCTCTTGCTCTTGCTGTCTCAGCCTTGCCCATGGCAGCCATTCGGAATGGGACTCAGTCCCTTCCTTCTGAGCATGGGTTAGGGCCCTGCACAGGTCCTGTGTGCCCGCCAGAGGCCGAATGCAGGCAGGAGCAATGAGGACCAGACCTCAGGAAACACTTCTGGTCCTGAGAGAGTGACACACAAGGCAGGGAGCCTAGGGCCACCCTATTCCTCCCAGGAAGAAGGCGCAGGGCCTGCCCACCAGGAGGGGAGGTTGGTGTCTGCATGAGTAATGCTGAGCACCCGGAAGCCGGAAGCCGGCTCCCCTGCCCTCCTGCTCCTGTCCCCTGGGCGTGGCCCTCAGGTTTCCTTGGGAAAAGCACAGCATTTCAGAACAGAACCTTCTAAGGAGCCAGACATCCAGGGACAGGGCTGGCAGGAGGCCCCTTGTCCTCACCTCTCCCCTGGAGGTAGGGAAGACGCTCAGAAACCTTGCACTCATTCAAAGATGCAGTCTCCATGGTCCCCAACCTAAGACATCGCCCTTCATAGCCTTCAGCCTCCACACCCCCTCCAGGGGTCTCAGAGGAATCCCACAGTGGCCGCACAGGAAGATGTTACCATCCCATTTTACAGACAAGGAAACTGATAGGTTTCGAACGCCGCCAAGGTCACGGTGCAAGTTACTGGCAAAAGCAGAAATGCAAATTCTCTGAGGGGTCCATTAGTTAAAGCTGGACAGGTCTGTGAATTTGCATTTGATTTGCATAAAGGGTGTCACAATACATAAATATCTTCTCCACACTCCCCACTCCCCCACCCCTCCCTCAACCAGGCTCTTCCTCCTTGAGCTGCCTGGCAGGCTGGGGAGCCCATCTGCTGCCTCCCTCTGCCAAGGACGCCTTGGCTGGATGGATGATAGGAGCGTTCCTTCTTTCCCGCTGGCGCTCGGGTGCGCAGAGTCAGGGGCCACCCGGTTCCTCCCGCCGGGCTCAGGTTGGGCACCTGCAGCAAGGGCTCAGGCTGGGCACGTACAGGAGTCCCCAGACCCAGACACGGCCTGTCTCCTGTCTTCAGCCCCAGATTTAACTGCGTTCTTGCCTCCCACGCCCGCCCGCCACCGTCTGGGATGCGGGGAGCCTGGGAGAAGTAAGGAGGCCAGGCGGGACCAGGAAGGAAGGCGGGGCGCAGAGAGGCGGGCTGCCACCCACAGCTGTGTGTCTGTCCCCTTCTCCTTCCCTCGCAACCAGCATTGCCCAAACAGTGGCCACAGTCTCCATGTGCCTGCTGAGTCATTGGGTTTTTCTTTTCTTTTTTTTGGTTTGGTGAGTCTGAGGTTTGAACTCAGGGCTTCACACTTACAAAGCAGGTGTTCTACCCCTTAAGCTCCGGCTGTTTTGCTCTGGCTGTTTTGGAGATGGGGGCGCGGTGGGGGGGTGGCCTTGAGAACTATTTTCCCCAGGCGGCCTAGAACCACATTTCTACCCATCTCAACCTCCCAAGTAGCTAGGATTACAGGCGTGCACCACCTGACTCACGCCCAGGCTGAGCCATCAGAATTTGAAAGCACGGTGTGAAAACGTATACATATAAATCTCACTAATAACTTTTATATTGATTACACATTTAGATGATAATATTCTGGGTTTTGTTTCTTTGATTTTTTGGTTTTTTTGGGGGGCGGGGCAGAACTGGAGTTTGAACTCAGGGCTCCATGCTTGCTAGGCAGGTGCTCTACCACTTGAGTCAGTCTGCCAGCCCCTAATGAGAATATTTTGGATGTACTGGGTTAAATACAAAGTTAATTTTACCTGTTTTTTTTTTTTCTTTTTCTTTTTTTGCTGATTTTTTTTTTTTTTAATACCGGGGATGCTAGGCAGGCTCTGTACCACTGAACACCATCCCAAGTCCTATTCCCTATTTGTTTTTTGGTTTTGGGGTTTTTTTTTTTTTTTTTGGTGGTGGTCCTGGGGTTTGAACTCAGGACCTCATGCTGGGTAGGCAGGCTCGCACTACCACTGGAGCCACTCCGCCAGCCCTATGTGCTTTTTTAAATGTGGGTACTAGAGAATTTCAAAGAGCATATGTGGCTTGCATTTTGGCTTACATTGTATTTCTGTTGTCCAGGGCTGTTCTCAATTTTATCTTGGTCAGGCAGTTGCTGTTCAGTAAAATACTTAGAGCAGGGAGCTTTTTAAATTAGATGGTTTTTATTATACCTTACTTTGTACTACATACCCTCATTCCTCACCCTCAGCGAGGAATTACCACATACGGTTGAAAATATGAATTGATAAACTGAGTTTAAATTCATCCCTGAGCTGGGTGTGGTAGCATACACTGCAATCCCTGCCCTTGGGAGGCTGAGGCAGGAAGCTCCCAAGTGCAAGGCCAGCCTGGGCTATGCAGTGAGACCTTGTCTCAACCTCTCTCCCCCCAAAAAATAAGTACATCCTTGATACTATAAGTTGTGTGGACATTGAGTGAGTCAATTAACTACTCCGTGCTTCAGTTTCCCATCAGAAAAAAAATGGAAAAATATGACTGCGTATTTCTAAAAGACTGTTAGGAGGATAAATGAGCAGTACAATTGTAACTGCTATATAGCTGTTATTATCTAAACTTTTGGGCTGCTCCTTGCTATGGTTTCGTGTGTCAGACAATACACTGTGCCCCTTTGGATGCATTATTTTACTCGCTCTTCTGGATGATCCTTTTGGTAACTGTTGCCCTCATTTCACCGAAGCTGCATCTTAAATTCCGAGAGGTTCAGTAACTTGCCCAAGGCCACACAGCTAGGCACTGGGATTTGCATCTGTATCTAACTCCAGAGATAAACCCTTAAGCACCATTCTGTGCTACTGAGAGCCTCCAAAGTAACACCTCTACCTCTTTCCTCTTGCTCTAGGGCCCCACGCATCAAGGGTCTGCCAGTCTGAGTAGCTTCCTGTCTCAAGGTCACTAAGGGGCTTCCTGATCCTACATCACCAGCCCCCAGCATGCAGGACTCCTCAGCACCAGCCACGCCATCGGCCCCCAGCCAGACATCATCCTCCCCACAGAGCCAGCCCTCCGCTGCAGGCCCAGGTCCAAGCGAAGGCCCCCAGCTCCCCAAGACCTCCTCAACCATTCCTGCCCCGGCGGTCCCAAAATCCAAGAACACAGGTGTCCGACGCATGCGTAGGATCATTGCGGAGGATGATGAGTGGACGCTGGCCATCGTGCCCCTCCTCACAGAGCTCTGCATTCAGCACATCGTCAAGAACTTCCAGAGTGAGTCTGCCCTACACCAGGTGGGAGGGGGAGGGAGCAGATGGGGGCAGGGAGGGTGGGGACCACCAGCACCCACGCCTGGAAGCTGGGTCCCATGTGGCAGCCTCCTACCTGCCCAGCCTTCCTAGCACCAAGACAGTGTCTCCTGCTGTCCCCAAGCCCCACCATGTGCCCTCCATGCCTACACTCCACCCCACTCCCACCCCCAGCAAATCCAGCCTGAGCCACATCTACTTCCTCCTCCAAGAAGCCCTCTGGTCACCACCTCTGCTCTCATGGGTTTCCCGGGCATGAATGGGCTCCTGGTTTGTTTGCAGCTGTGTACTTTGTAAATATTAATCCTTCCCAAAGGAGTGGCCAGCCTCTCCTACCTGATGGGAAGCTCACTGAGGACAGGGCTCTTTTTTTACCTGTGTCATCTAGGCCACCTGACCTAGCATTCATTCCTTCACTTGTAAACTCCACCTTTTTTCCTTCTTTCTTGTATCTCCAGCAGTGTCTGACACAATGTTTTAACAAATATATTTGTTTTGAAAGAAATGAATCAAATCAGCCCAGGAGTTCTAACATCGGGGATTGTCTCCTCCATCAGACTAGGTGACAACTGAAGGTTGGCACTAAGCCTCCTCCTCTGATGGGAGGCTCCCTGAAGTCAGATGCTGCCTGTGGGATGTCCACTGCAGTCAGGGAACCCTCACAGCTGCTCTCGCTGTAGTTGAGCAGGAAGAACAGAGGCTGGCTGTCTGTTCGCTCTGAGCATGGCAGCTCAGTGAGGGTTAGGTGGGTGTCACCCAGGCAGGCCCAGCCCAGAGAACCATGTTATTGTGTCCCCAACACTGTGACTTGCCTCTGTTTTCCTTCCTCTGCTCCTAAAGACAACCCTATCCTGAAGCAGCTGCTCCCAGAGCACCAGCAGAAAGTCCTGAGCCACCTGTCCCCCGACCTGCCACTGGCCGTGACTGCCAACTTGATCGAGGATGAGGGCTATTGGCGCCGCTGCTGCACGAAGCGCTGGCCCGTGTGCCACGTGGCCAGGCACGGAGGCAGCTGGAAGCGAATGTTCTTTGAGAGACACCTGGAGAACCTGCTGAAGCACTTTATCCCCGGCACCACGGACCCCAGAGTGATTCTCAACCTGCTGCCCCTCTGCAAGAGCTACGTGCACAGGATCCATGTGGATCAGTTCCTGCCACCCGTGCAGCTCCCGCCCCCACCCCGGTTTGGGGACCAGTCCGAGTCGGGCAGTGAGGGAGAGGCAGAGGAACCCGCCACAGACCACTACCAGCTGGGTGACCTGGTGGCTGGCCTGATCCACCTGGAGGAGCTGGACCTGGTGTATGGTGTCAAAGACTGTGGTATGAACTTTGAGTGGAACCTCTTCCTCTTCACCTACCGTGACTGCCACTCCTTAGCAGCCACCATCAAGGCATGCCACACCCTCAAGGTACCACTGGACCCCAGCTACCCCAGGGTTCTCTTCTCAGCAACTCCAGGATTCCCCTCCCCTCCTCTTCCTTCTCCATCACCATCTTCCTCCCATTTCCCTTTTCATTCATTGTGAAAATGGGGTGTTGGTTTGGGGAGTATATGTGTGTGTGTGCGTGCTGGGGATTGAACCCGGGACCTCACGCAAGTCAAGCACAAGCTCAGACTCCCAGCCCCAGACCCAGTGGGGTTTTTTTGCACCCTGCACCAAGCTAGTAGGTTCCAGAATACAGAGATGAATGGAGGCACTGTGACCCCAGCTCACCAGCATGCAATCATCCAACAAACATCTGCACTCCGGGCCCTGTCCCAGGAGTTGAAGATGCAGCAGTGAGCAAAATTAAACCATTTGTGCCCTCTGGAGCTAGCAGTCTGGTAGGATGAAAGGCGCTAATGAGCAATCGTCTCAATGTAAAATTGCAGCTAGGCTAAGCCAAATTTAGCAAATAGAAACACGGGATGTCCAGTTAAGTTTGAAGTGCAGATAAATAACCAAAAAAAAAAATTAGAAATAAATCCCAAGTATTCTATGGAACATACTTGTTTAGCTGAAATTTCAATTTTACCAGGCATTTTGTTTTAGCGATGCTTTTATTTCAGTGCTGGGGATCAGCCCAAGGGCCTTACACACGCTAAGCATGCAGTCTGCCTCTGAGCTACCCTCCCAAGCCTGAGCGTCCTGTATGTTATCTGTCACCTTTAAACTGGAATGCATGCCACAAAGAAAAGACCTAACAGATGATAGCAGGGCGTTTGACCTTGCCAGGGAAGGCTGCCTTGACAAGTATTACTTAGGCAGAGATCAAAAGGAGTTGGAGTAGTCTTCAAAAAAAAAGCCCATTCCAGGCAGAGGGGCAGCACATACAGGTCCCAGGGCAGAGTGCCCATGGACAGTTTCAGGCCTGAAAGTGAAGGCTGTGTAGCTGGAGCCATGAGTAGCAATATGGGGCAAGGGTGGGATGGAAATGGGCGCCAGTGGCTCACGCCTGTAATCCTAGCTACTCAGGAGGCAGAGATCAGAAGGATTGCAGTTTGAAGCCAGCCCAGGCAAATAGTTTGCCAGACCCTATCTTGAAAAAACCTAACACAAAAAAGGGCTGGTGGAGTGGCTTACATGGTAGAGCTCCTGCCTGGCAAGCATGAGGCCCTGAGTTCAAACTCAAGTGCCACCAAAAAAAAAAGAAGAAGAAGAAAAAAAAAATAGGCAGGCAGGCAATAGCCATACTCACTGGGGGAAGGAGGCCTCCATAAGGAGTCTGTCTTTACCCTGAGGAGTTCTGGAACACCATCTGTGTTATTTTGTTTTCTGTTGCTATAGCAAAATACCTGAGCTGGGTGCTTTATAAATAAAAGATGTGTATTTGGCTCACAGTTCTGGTGGCTGGAGCATCCATACAGTATGGAACCCTTGATTTTCCTCCTTAAAACATGGCAGAAAAGCAGAAAGGGAAATGGACATGTGCAGAAGAGAACAAGTTCATGGGGTGGCCTCACTTTATAATAACCCAATCTTGTAAGAACTGACCAGCAAACCAAGATCACTCCATTAATCTCTTCCAAGAGCAGTGCTCCCAATAACCTTACCATTAGGCCTCACCTCTTAAAGGTTCCACTATCCCTCAACATCACTACACTGGGAACCAAGCTTCCAGCACATGAACCTCTTGGGGGAGAAATCCCGTCCAAACCATCGTAGTATCCAAGGGCGCTAGCAAAAGGGAGGTAACACTGGGTATCACCTGTGGAAAGGTCACTGTGTTTGTGAAGGAGAATGGCCTGGATAGAGCACAGTAGACATGGTACATCACCTAGGAGACCACTGGCAAATGCACATGACAAAGGGGTAATTTGAACTATGAGGTGTCTGCAGAGATGGGGCAAAGCAAAGAAAGCAGAGCAACACTAGGCAGATCAACTGGCTTCACTGGTGTAAGGAGAATGTGGAAGGGAAAGAAGGAACAGGAGGTGTCAGGCTTCTTGCTCATGAGACCGGATGGCTGGAGGGACCGCTGGCAAAGACAGAGCGTATGGGAGGCAGACCAGTTTTGAAAGGAAGAGCATGAGCTCCAGTCCGAGGCAACCTAGAGCAGGGGTCAGCTCGCTAATTGGGTAGAGGGGCAGAGACTGGGATGAGAGGTTGGAATTAAACATGGAACATGTGCCATTGCCATGAGCAATGAAGCCCTACGTTTGGATGGAGTATCATAGGGGAGAGCCAAAAGGGAGGCAAGAAGAGACCAGGCTTGTTGTGTCGGGGGAAGAAGAGCTTGCCAGGAGAGCAAGAGAGGAGGAAAGGAGACACTGGCAACACTGGGTCACAGAACCCACAGAGGGATGTGTTTCAAATAGAGGGAATGAGTTATGGGGTGGGACAGAGCCCTCTGGGACTCTGGACTGGCTTAGCAACCCAGGGGGGCATTTCAGTGGTGCACCAGGAACAGAGGCTGGGCAGCCATGAGGGGGAGAGTGAGAAGTGAGGAAGAGGGCGGTGTGACTAGCTTTGTCACGAACTTGACTGTGAAGGGGGAAAGCAGAGCAGAACAGATGATAGCGTCAGGTTTTCCTAAGGAACCTGTGTGTTTCAAGCCAATGCAAAGCTCCATCCACTCCCAAGAAAGGAGCTGACTGCAGGAGGAGAGGGCCATGGGCAAGCAGGGTGGGGCCCAGCACTGAGGAGGGGCAGTTGACCCTGGCCAGTGAGAAAGGGAAAGCGGGTGAAGAGCAGTAGGTCTGTGTTGGTATCAGGAAAATAGGGTTCCAGTTCATGACTGGGAAGGAGAGAAGAAAGTCCATCTGGCAAAAGGAGGCACTGCAAGGAGGCCCCTGAAATGTGAGGGGGGCTGGAAAAGGTTGATTATGAGAGAATTTGTTGTCCAGAGAAATATGGCTGGATTGGCATATAGCATTGGTAATTGCAGTGACACCAACCAATCCCATCAGGCGACATTTGATATCATGTCAGTTCCTTGTTCACAGGCACACAGAAAATAGAGAGTGGGCTAAGCATGGGTGACACACACCCAGCGACCCTACCCAAAAAATAACTAAAGCAAAAAGGGCTGGGAGTGTGGCTCAAGTGGTAGAACCTAGCAAGAGCAAAGCTCTGAGTTCAAACTTCAGTGACGACAAAAACAAACACAGGGGAACAAGATACTTCAATCTGGGTGAGAGGGCCATAGAAGGAGTAAAGAACTGGAGGGGAGGGAGAGAGACACCAGCCCACTGAGGAGTTTCCAGAGGAGAAAGGAGAGGGACAGACCAGAGGGAAGGAGGGGGGAGGGGCTCCCAAAGCACAATAGTCACAATCCTAGTCTCACTCCTTTCCTTATCCCTTCAGCCCTCAATTCCTCCCCACTTCCTCCTGGCTCTTACCCAAACAACCTTCTTCCAAGATTTCCTCTCCTTAGGGCTGAGGGTATAACTCAGGGGTAGAGTGTTTACCATGTGCCAGGCCCTGGGTTCCTATCCCAGCATTGGGGTGGACCTGAGCCAGCTGAGAAGAGTACAGTAAGGGCTGGGGCATCAGACAGACCTGGTGGCCAGCACCAAGCCTCCTCATGGCTGCCTTCTCTACCTGTGGAAGTTAGGCAGGCAGGCAGGTTGTCCCGGGCTGGCAGCAGCTGTCAACCCTCTACCTGCCCACAGATCTTCAGGTTGACCAGGAGCCGGGTAGATGATGAAAAGTCACGCATCCTGATGCGCAGTCTGCTCGACCATCCAGTCCTCGAGGAACTGGACCTGTCGCACAACCTCATTGGGGACCGAGGTGCACGGGGCGCCGCCAAGCTGCTGAACCACAGTCGCCTGCGTTTGCTCAACCTGGCCAACAACCAAATTCGTGCCTCCGGTGCCCAGTCGCTGGCTCACGCCCTGGCACACAACACCAACCTCATTTCCCTCAACCTACGCCTCAACTGCATTGAGGATGAGGGCGGCCAGGCACTTGCCCACGCCTTGCAGAGCAACAAGTGCCTCACCACGTTGCACCTCGGCGGCAATGAGCTCTCTGAACCCACAGCCACGCTCCTCGCCCAAGTGCTCTCCATCAACACCACGCTCACCAGCATCAACCTGTCTTGCAACCACATCGGGCTGGTGAGCCTTCACTCCTGGGGCAAGCAGGGCATGGTATAGAATCCAAACTACTATGGTATGGGGTCCTTGCAGGATACAGGCTAAGACCCCAGACTTTGCGGAAAGGCTGCATACCTAAGATGCCAATGTACGCATCCCAACATCCATTCTTTTTCCTTTAATCCCCATAGGCTTTTTGTTTGTTTGTTTGTTTGTTTGGCGGTATTGGGGATTGAACTCAGGGCTTCATGCACAGTAGACAAAGCTCTACCACTGCACCTCCAGCCCAGCCTGAGCCCTTGTTAGTCACGTGCTCTACCACTGGGTCACACCTTCACTTGAGTCCTTTCTGGCACACAGTGCTCCTCTTGTCAAACTGTCACTTCTGTTTTGTTTTTGAGAGAGGGTCTTACTATGTAGCCCAGGCTGGCCCTGAACTGTCCATCCTCCTGTCTCTGCCTCACAAGTGCTAGGATTACACATGTGCACCACCATACCAGGCTCTTTTTTTTTTTCTTGCGGTACTGTGGTTTGAACTCAGGGTCTACACCTTGAGCCACTCCACCAAACCCTTCTTTGTGAAGGGTTTCACGAGCTATTTGCCCACACTGGCTTCGAACTATGAACCTGATATCTGCTTCCTGAGTAGCCAGGAGTCTACGGCCATAGCACCCTGAACGCGCCCGATCTCGTCTGAGTAGCCAGGATTACAGGTGTGAGTCACCGATACCCGGCTACTAGTTGATGTTGATATTTTTCTTTAGACTCTATTTCATTTTTTTGAATGCTTCCATGGGAGGCCAAGTGTGGTGGTACACACCTATAATACTAGCGATGCAGGAAGCATAGATTTGCCATCAAAGGCTGGCCCCCTCCCCCAACAAAAAGCAAAAGACCCTACCTGAAGGGCTGCAGAGTGGCTCAAGTGGTAGAATGCCTGCTTTGCAATCTGCAGAGCCCTGAGTTCAAATCCCAGGCCCACCAACAAAAAAAAGAAAAAGAAGACCCTACCTGAATAAGCAAAAGCAAAAATGGCTGGAGGCATGGCTCAAGTGGTAGAGCACCTGCCTAGCAAGCATGAGGCCCTGAGTTCAAATCCCAGTACCTCCCCAAAAAAATGCTTGTATGGCCCATTAAATTGACTTTGTAACATGGAATTTTCATGTTGGACTGGGCCCATCCAACCCAGAAGGTTCTGGAGACGTGAGGAATATGAAGGAGGGCCCTCTGTGTGCTAGTGAGGCCCTGACCCAACTACCAAACCTTCTATGAGAACAGTCTCTCTCTCCCTCTCCCCCCCTCCACCCTGCACCTTCATGTACACACCATGTGTACTCTGCTATCTCCAAATTATTGTTCTTGGCTGTAATAGAAAGCTTAGCCCTGAAGTGGCTTAAGTAGGAGGGATTTCCAGTGTCCCACATAACCAGAAGCTCCAGGGGAGGGGTCCTGGGGTCCTGGGACTGTAACCCCCCTGGCTCAATGCTGCCCTCTGCTCTGCCCACCCCAGCCCTATGGCCAGACCTCTCTAATGTGCCCCTCGTGGCCCCAAGATGGCTGCTGCACTTCTGGTGTCTCACGTGGGACATGCACAGAGCCAGGGAAAGGGAAAACAGGGTTGTCTCTTACTGTTTTCTTCCACTTCAAGCTCCCCCTCACATCTCATTAGACACTTGTTCCTTGTCCCCCAGCCCAAAGCAGAGGAGTAGGCTCACCATCATTAGCAGGCACCCATGTTCTTTCAAACCACTAGGGTTGAAAATTCACAGTGGAATAGACTATGTCAGTGTGCTGCAGATGGGTTAAATTGGTTTTACAAAATATTTTAGTCACATTTGTATGCAAATGTGAGTGTGTGTTCTGGGTAGTATAAAATGATCCTTTTCTTCCTCCTCCACAGGACGGTGGGAAGCAGCTCCTGGAAGGCATGTCGGACAAGAAGACCCTCCTGGAGTTTGATTTGCGCCTGTCTGAGGTAGCTCAGGAGAGCGAGTACCTCATTGGCCAGGCCCTCCAAGCAAACCGAGAAGCAGCCCGCCAGCGGGTCCTGAATCCCGGTCACCTCATGACGCACATCACTGCCAACGGCCGGGAGAATTCTGGGGAATGAGATGGGGGACAAGGCTCGGGCAAGCACACCCCTCCCGTGTGTTCTTGCTGTGCACTGTGCTGGTGTCACTGGCTCCTGGGGAAGGGGAAGACCACGAATCTCTCTGGGGTGAGTGATCAGGGTTGTATACATGAAGATGGGGAAGGGGCCTGGAATAGAAGAGGAGGTATAGAGACCCAGCTCCTGAGCCCAGAAAAAGGGTATTATCAGACCCTTCCCCCCCACACACACACACATGACCAACTTCTAGGAACAGGTAAGGCAGACACGACTCTGAGGAGACTCTCCCCATGGGGCCACCACCTCCTTGACTCACCCCACCCCCATTTTCCTTTCTATTGAGCAGAACCTCAACCTTCATGCACTCACACCCCCTCCTCTGGACACAGCAGAGCTACACCTGGCTGTTCCTGTCACCCTCACCCCTGCAGATGCCACCATCCTGTTGTTATGTGATCCAGTTCTATAGGTCACACCATCCCCTAGTCCCTAACCCTCAAGTTGGGAAGGGGACAATAGATGACAGAAGAGCTCAGGCCCAGCAGTCTTCCTTGAGGAGGTGACTGCGGATGATGAGTGCTAGGGAAGCCTGGTGCTTCCTGCGGATGATGAGTGCTAGGGAAGCCTGGTGCTCCTGTGACAAGCCCTCTGTCCACCCCAGAGGGCTTGTCACAGGAGGCTGGGGAGGAAGTGCCACACTGGGAAGGGGAGTCCGTGAGTCACCTGCAACTTTATTACCCACCAATTTGATTTGTACAATCTTTGCGCTTGGAAATCCACGACAGAAAGGCCACAGTGTGATGCACCCAGTTGACAAGAGACCTGTCTTCTCCCAGCCAGGCCCAGACCACCCAAGCCCTTGTCCTCAGGACACATGGAGCCCTCCAGGTGCCCTCCATGATTCCCTCTCACTCTCTGGCTGCCCACCCTGGGGCCACCCTACAGAAATCACATCAGGCCACAGGGCCATGAGACAACCTGACTGATGAATTCCAGCTGAGCCCCATCCCCCATTCTTCTTGGGCTAAGTGGCCCAGAGCCTCCAGACCCATGTCCCCAAGCGGTGGATCATGGGTTGCAACAAGCAGGCACCGAGCAGAGCACCAGAGGGGGCTTGGGAGTGACTGCATGTGTGTGCCTGTCCAGGAAACCTCGAGTCATCTGTGCCTGACACCCTCTGACAGTTACGGAGTGCAAATGCGTAGGTGTGTATGTGTGTGTGTGCGTGTGTGTAGCCATAGCTGCTAGCAGAGGTTCTAATTAGAGAAACAAGAACATTCAGTGTAAAGTTTAATTTTAGAGATTAATTTTCTGGTTTTTGTTGATTGGTAGCATCAATAAAGCTACCAAGAAAATAGACCAAAGAATCGGTTTCTAAGTCTGTGCATGTGTGGGAGGTGAGGCTGTCTGTGAAACCTAGGCAGAAATGGTGGATACAGGCAAAAAAATAACAGCGGCTCCCCTTCCCCTCTTCTGGGGCCAGGCTCTGTTTCAGAACTGGGCTTGAGGGAGGAGGAGCCAAGTTCCTTCCTCCTTGGAGCCATGAGGTGGCCAGGCTGCCTACAAATAAGGACAGGACATCCAGGCACCATCTGGCCAAAAACTGTGGCCTGAGGCCACAGCTCACCACCTGTACCTCACAGATGTCCATTCAGAGGAAAGAGGAGTGCTCCAACTGCCAGGCACAGACTCTGTGTCCCAGCCGGTTCAGTGCTGGCAGGCTGGGGGGGCACAGCTGCTCAGGAAAACCTAGGGGGCAGCTCTGCCCACACCTCTTCCTCTCTGGTCTCCCCTCCCTCCTCACTCAGCCATCTTTACATGATCAGAAAGCTCAGCCCCCTGATGAGCCATAAGCCTTGGTAACCCCACAATTTAGGCTCCCACATCCTCTCGAGAAGGAGGGAAGGGGAGCCAGAGGTGATGTTGCATAGGTGAGGGCTATGCCCCTTGGCAGGTACAGACCTGGCTGGGCCAGAGGAAGATGGGAGGGGCTGAAGGCAGGGAGGGTGGAGTTCTGATGGCTGAGGCAAAGCAAGAAGCAATAGGGAGCACAGCGCCTGGGTGGCCCAAGGGTTCTCTCTAGACTGAAGTGGGGGCTCCATCCTTGGGCACTAAATCGGCTGGGAAAACTTTAGCCAGGGCAGGGGTTGCACACAGACATGCACACTGAAGCACACAGGAGTGGAGGGGGAGCACAGGGGAGGAGGTGGCGTCAGAGCTTTGAGAGAACAGGACAGGGTCCCAGTGCCCCTCTGAAGACCCTGCAACACACAGCAGGGCTTCAGGAAGATAGAGGGGTCTGGTGAACTTTAGAGAACTCCTGCCTCTGCCTCTGCCCCTGGAATTGCGTATTTCTCCAGTTGGAGCTTGTGACATCCTCTGCTCTGCAGAGGCATGTGTAAGGGACCAGCACACTCCACTTCTTCCCACAGTCCAGCAAGGGACTCTAACCCAACATCCCCACCTTTGGAGGTCCTGTCACTCTGTCCTCTGCTCTTTCTCCCCTCTACTTCCAGAGTTCTCTTGACACCCAGGTAGGGTCTCAGGCTCTCTTCACTGAGGTCACTCACCCTGGCCAGCTTTCAGAGTGCCGCCACGGTGGCATCTCAGCCTCTCTAAAAGGAGCACCTGCCCAGAACCCAGGTGAGAAGGCTGCTGCTGGAAAGCTGTGGAGTTTCCACAAAGAACTGTGGCACTCGCCCTTCCTGGTTTCCCGGCTCTGCCCCTGTACCCTGGCGACAGCTCTTCAAAGCCAGCAAGCCTGAGGCGAGCAGTCCCTCCAGGACCCAGACTCCTGGGGCCCAGTGAGATAAACAACAGAGAAAGGAGTGGCGGAAAGGAAATCCCAAGCTTTGGGACCAGCGCCAAGAGGAGAACAGTAACATTTTAGGCGTGGGACAGAGTACTGGGGCTGCCACCTAGCCCCAGGCTCAGACCCATGGGATTCCTAAAGCTGGCTCTCTACCAAACCCTGCCCCTCCACAGAGGCCCCAGAGGAGGCAAAGGAAGAAGGAAGGCCTGCCCTTCCCCGCGGCCTCCACACCTCCAGTATGCACTGCCAGGCGGCTCCCTGGAGAGGAGGCCCAAGGCGTGTCTCACAGAACAAGTGCCAAATAACAGTCAGAGACCCGGTGAAAGGCTGGACGGGAAGTTTCGAGTGTGCACGCAGAAGGAGGCGGTGTCCCCTTAGGGATATGGGTGGGGCTGGAGGGACAGCTTCACTAGGGTGGAATCGCAAGGAGCTGCAGAGCCCCTCCCACCCTTGTCGGGGGAGGGGGGGTCTCGGCCAGATCGGGGTCTATGAGGGCGCTTTCTCCTCCCCTCCCTTCCGGCTGCACCCTGCCCAGCCTCAGTCACCATCCTGTCTCCTTCAGCCACGCACTGGGAGCACAGTCTGGAGACAGATGGGAGGACGGCACAGGCCTCTGCAGGGACTGGCGGTCACAGTGAGGTCTCCACGCAGGAGCCATGGCGGTGCAGGGGCCGGTGGCTATGGCCCAGACAACCCTCCTGCCGGTGGACGATGAGGACCGGGAAGTAGAGGGCATCGTGGTAGGGCGGCGGTGGCCCGGCCTCCTCCTCTTCGTCGTCCTCATCGTCTCCCATGCTGGCTTGGCTCGACAGCCGCGTCTGCTCGGTGGGACAGCTCGCCTCGTTGACGCTCCCGCTCCGGCTGCGCCACAGACAGCTGCGACGGGAGCCGTAGAGCCGGCCGAGCGAGAAGCGACTGCCCCCGCAGCCCGCGCCTCCTCCGGGCCCGAGCCCGGCCCGCGGGCTGGCGCAGATGCTCAGCGCGCTGCGCGAGAAGATGGACGAGCTGCTGACGGCGCGCTGGCAGTGCTCGCAGCTGCGCCGGTACGGGGCCACGCCCGCCGCGCCCGGGCCGCCCACCCCGCCGTAGCGGCACGTGGGCGCGTAACCGCCGCCCGGCGCCCCGCCGCAGCGCGCGCCCAGCCCCGCCAAGTCCATGAGCACCGCTTCCGAGTAGCTGGGCACCAGCTGCTGGTTGGAGCGGATGTGCCACTCGAGCTCCGTGCTGTCCACCGTGTTGACCCGCGGCAGGCGGTGGGTGAGCGGGGGCAGCAGCTCGTCGCTGGGGCTGAGGCCGCCCGCGCTGCTCGCCGAACCCGGGCCCTCCAGGCCGAAGAGCTTCTCCACGTGGTAGTGCGCGTAGGCCGTGCGGTACTCGGCCAGCACGCGCAGCGGCCACGACAGCGTGAGCAGCGCCGCGGCCCAGAAGGCCGACGAGCAGGCGTACCAGGGCGGCCGGGCCGGGTCCGGGAAGGCCACCATGAACTCGCGGAAGTCCACGTTCTTCAGGTGCATGCCCTCGCGAGCCTCCATGTAGTCGTCCAGGCCCTCGTTCTCGGCGAAGAAGCGCGCGCGCTGGCACAGGTACGCGTTCTCGGCCTCCACGCTGGCGAAGCTGAAGCACTTGGTGAAGCGCAGCCGCGTGGCCGGCGCGCCCTCCAGCCCCACCAGCGCCTTGGACACGTCTCGGACGCCGCAGCGCGCGTAATCGAACTCGGCCTCCGCCACGTGCGTGTTGACGCGCTCGTGGTAGACCTGCAGCGCGGGGAAGCTGGTGTCGGGTGGCCGCTTATGCTCATGTTCGCCTGCCACTGTTCCTGGCTCATCCCTAAGCCTGGTCCGTTTTCGGGCCCGGCTGCAGCCCAGTAGAATCTTACCGTCTGGTGTACCGAGTAACCGAGCTTGATCACGGATCAATGATGAGGCAGGACTAGGACCCAGCCCTACCCATGTGCATTCATTCAGGGAGCTCTGCTTTCTCTGGGATCAGGCTCTGGCCAAGAACTGCCCCCGGCTTGCTGATCCTTTTGTCACTGCCCCTCACCACCTCAAGCAGCCTCTCCTTCCTTTTACAAATGCATTTCCACATGGGCCCACTGATGTTGTCCCCAGAACCCTGCCCTTAGTCTCCAGTTCTGACCTCAGCATCCTCTGCCTCCTTCCTTCTTCTCAGAGGTGCCCGCTTCTAT